AATATGAATAATTTTATATCATTTTTCCCCAAAGAACAATTTAAAAATTTTTTATTCTACATATGTAAGATATAACAATGTGGTTTTTAATATACATTGTGATACCTCAATCAAGCTAATTAACGTATCACCTCACATAGTTACCATTTTTGTGTGTGTGGTAAGAACACTGAAGATCTCTGTTAGCAAATTTCAAATAGACAGTACATTATTAAGTATGATCACCATGCTGTACATTAGATCTCCAGAATTTATTCATTTTAACTTTAAAGTTTGTATCCTTTGACTGAAATCTTCCATTTGCCTCAGCTCCCAGCCCCTGGCAACTACTGTTCTATTCTCTGTTTATTTCTATGAGTTCTGGCAACTACTGTTCTATTCTCTGTTTATTCCACATGTAAGTGAGATTGTGTAGTATTTGGCTTTCTGTACCTAGCTTGTTTCACTTAGAATAATACCCTCTAAATTCACTCATGTTGTCACAAATGGCAAGATTTTCTTCTTTTGTAAGCTTGAATAATATATATATATATATATGTATATACGTAGATGACAGTTTCCTTATCCATTCTTCTGTCAGTTAGGTGGTTTCCACATCTTGGCTATTGTGAATAATGCTGCAGTGAACATAGGGTGCAAATATCTCTTTGACATACTGTTTTCACTTTATTTTCCAGAAGTGGGATTGGAGGATCATGTGATAGTTTTATTTTTAGTTTTTTGAACAGCCTCTGTATTGTTTTCCCGAATGGCTGTAAGAATTTACAGTCCCGGGCCGGGCGCGGTGGCTCACACCTGTAATCCCAGCACTTTGGGAGGCCGAGACGGGCGGATCACGAGGTCAGGAGATCAAGACCATCCTGGCTAACACGGTGAAACCCCGTCTCTACTAAAAATACAAAAAAGTAGCCGGGCGAGGTGGCGGCGCCTGTAGTCCCAGCTACTCGGGAGGCTGAGGCAGGAGAATGGCGGGAACCCGGGGGGCGGAGCTTGCAGTGAGCTGAGATCCGGCCACTGCACTCCAGCCTGGGCGACAGCGCGAGACTCCGTCTCAAAAAAAAAAAAAAAATGAAAAAAAGAATTTACACTCCCGCGTACAGTGCACGAGGGTTCCGTTTTCTCTACAGCCTCACCAACACCTGTTGTCATTTGAGTTTTTATATATCTGTTGGCTATTTGTATATCTTCTGGGAAAAATGTCTATTCGAGTCCTTTGCCCATTTTTTAATCAGGTTATTTGTGCTTTTGGCTATTGAGTTGTTGAGTTCCTTATATGCTTTTGGATACTAGTTCCCCATCAGATATTCGGTTTGCAAATATTTTCTCCCATTTCATAGGTTCCTTCATTTTGCTGATTGTTTCCTTTGCTGTGCAGAAACTTTTTTAATGTGATGTAATCCCACTTGTTTACTTTTGTTGCCTGTGCTTTTGGTGTTATATCCAAAAAGTCATTGTCAAAACTAATGTCAACGGGCTTTTCCTCTATGTTTTCTAAGAGCAAGTGTTGATAATAGGAAGGAAACAACAGGAAATTTAAGGGCAGCAGGACCCTTAACTATCCAAGACTGTTTAAATGGTGTTTGTACTTAAAGTAAAAACTACCTGAGAATATTTTAACATATGCCTCAAGTCAGTAGTGTGGATCTGGATTGCAGATTCTCCAGTGCTCAATCATCCTATATTTGTGGGAAAAGAAGTCTGATGTTTTCCAAAGGATTAAGTAATATTGTTTGATGTGGAATAAAGTGCCATGTATATTGAGCTTCTTTAGGAGGATAGTTTTATTTATCTTTTTGGATCTCTGTCAAAATAAATGCAAGGGGAGGGAGGCCCAGTGTTCCACTGGTCCCTTGAACAGAGATGAACCTACTGTAAAACAATGGCTTTTAAGTTTCAGGGGCTCCTGCTTGCATTAGCCCTAGCCATGTATTTACAAGATCATTGTCAAATTTACAGAAGTAAGACATTTTAAACATAATTGATGAATACCGCTTATTAAGACCACTGTCTCTTTTCACTCCCACTTCCCTTGATGTCAGGTGGTGCTGGAGTGGCTGTGGACAAAGAGAAGTTGAGTTGGGGATACATTTGGATTACAGGGATATATTCATGTTGTTCACAGTCACTTCTGTATGGAGTTACTACTGGCTGTCCTGATGTAGCAGGGGCTTCCAGGAATATTCTTATAGACTTCTGTGCTAACTCATCTGGCATCAGGACAGTACATCAGTAACAAACTGAAACATCATAAGCTTTAGACCCTGAGAAACCTGGGTCCACCTGCTCAATGAGCATAGTTCTTTGACTATGTAGAGTCTGTGCAAACCTGTGTACACCTCAATTTGGCATCCCAAGTAGGAGAGTGGTGGTAGAGGATTCTTTGATCCTTTGACCTACTGCCCCACATGTCCTGGCCAATAACAATGAAAGATCTATTCTGGGAAAACTTTTGGCCTGATTTTACACTATTATTTGAACTACAATCTAATTTAGAACATTTTAGAACATTAATTGATTAATTAATTTAGAACATTTAGAACAAGGAGAAAATATATATATTTTTTTCAGTTGCTGTGTGTCCTCTGCTTTTGTAGCCATGTCTGTAGAGCAAAAAGAGAGATGACTTGACTGTTAGTCTGTATTAATTCCTAATTTAACGCTCCCTAAAATCATTTATTTAGTTCATTACAAAGACTCTTTCAGCCTATTATATTTGTTATTGTTTTTATAAAATATTTTTAGTAGAAACAAAAATATTGTATAAAAATATAAAAGCTTTCCATAAATCCTTAATGTAGACAACAGAAGTTTTTTAAAAAATAGAATCCAATAAGTTTATTGTAAATTCTTACCTTTTTTGGCATACAGTATATGCATATTATGTTTAACTTAGTTAAAACATTTTATGACAAAAGTGGATCATGTCCATATTGCTTTTAAACTTGTCTTTTTCACCTAACAGTGTGTCTTGGACATCTTTCTGTGTTCTTTTTAAAGGACTGTCCAGCATTGGGTGGTGGAGGGAGTGGTCTGGTTAATACCATTTAATCAATCAATTCCTTATATTTGGGTGTTTTCTGGTTTTGGTGTTTCTTTTCCTTTTTTTTTTTTTTTTTTTAACTGTAACAAATGATGCTGTAATGAGCCTTCTTATTCATATATCTTTGCACACTTGGGGAGTATTTTTCCCTCTGTAATATAAATTTCCAGCCATGAATTGCAGGATCAAAAGATATTTACATTTAAAAATGTTAACAGATGTTTTCAAATTGCCATCTAAATCATTGTACCAATTTATAGACTTGCCAATAATGTATGAGTGCACTTTTTCTCTACCCTTGCCAACCCAATATTATCAATCACTTTACTCTTTGCCAATCTTGAAAACAGTAGCTAAGGGTTTCTTTAATTTTTATTTATTTAACAGTAAAGTTGGACATCTTCTCATACCTTCATATTATCATATTCTTCTATGGCTTGCCTGTTCATATCCTTTGCCCATTTTGAAAAAAAGCTGATTATTTTCTTATTTACTTGTAAGAGTTATTTGGGATTGCTTGGGATATTAGCCTTTTGTCTTAGCATGATACTTGGTTACAAAGGACACTTACTATTGCATTATTTTAATATTTCTTACTTTTTCATTGGATAACATATCATCACTAAACATACTGCATTTTAAACTCTTAAGTGAAATTCTGCTACGAAAATCCCTTCAATTATAGACTCAATGATTTTGCATGTGGGTTATTAATAGCAATAAAAGGAGATGTTTCATATAGTTAAAAAATTATAGAAGTGACCATTAGTCAAAAATTTACTTAGAAGGTAAACTTGTTCTGCATTAGGGGAGAAGTTGTCACTTTTCTTCCCTAAGCCAAGGAAGGAGCCTAAGTTGGAAGCAAAGGTCCCATTGCCAAGTTTACAAAAGTTCTGTGATTAGAAATTAGTCCTTGTTATAGCAGAGTGCATATCATGAATAGTTCGTTTTTATTTTTCATGAATTTACTGCTCAGTATTAGGCTCTACATTTAATATTTATATCTAGAAAAGTTAAACAATTTTGTTTTGAGACTGAGTTTCACTCTTGTCGCCCAGGCTGGAGTGAAATGGCATGATCTCGGCTCACTGCAACCTCTGCCTCCTGGGTTCAGGTGATTCTCCTGCCTCAGCCTCCTGAGTAGCTGGGATTACAGGCGCACGCAACCACACCTGGCTAATTTTTGTGTTATTAGTAGAGACGGGGTTTCACCATGTTGGCCAAGCTGGTCTCAAGCTCCTGACCTCAGGTGATGCACTCACCTCAGCCTCCCTAAATGCTGGGATTACAGGCGTGAGCCACCGCACCTGGCCACAATTTTTAATTGTATAGGAAACTTGCATTTATGAAGTACTTCTGAATTTAGCGCCTAGGTCAAATTACGTTGGATATGTTTTCATGGAAGCTGTTGTATTCTCTTATTTTGCATGGTTTGGCTCTTAATTGCTTGTAATTCTGGTACATAATGAGCACAAGGGAAATATATTTTAAACATGCATAAGTTAAACTTGCTACAAACATTGAGATTAGAAGTTGCAAACTGACCACTAGGTCATATCTGCTCCACAAGCATCTCGCATAGTTTGAGAACTATTTTGAACTAGTTGCTAAAGCTTAAAAATGGAGGGATTTCTCTTGAAAAATGGAATTTTGGATAATAATGGATTATATATATATATATGTTAGTCATGAACTGTCACTACATAGTAGCTATTATTTTTAGACAGAGTAAGTGCTCTCCAACTTGTCAGAGCTCCTGTCATTCTTTAATGTATTACAACTGGCCCACTTCACTCATGTACCTTATGTAGATTCCTTTTTCGTTATTTGTAGATTTATATATATATACACACACATATATATACACACATACATATATATCTATATATATATATAGAGAGAGAGAGGCAGATAGATAAAGAAATTTCTTAGTTTTTTCATTAATAAATACAAGACATCCAAACTTCTGTGCTTTATTATTTTTCTGGTACATTCATCTCCTTAAAAGGAGACATTAGAAGCAGTAAACATCCCAGAGATAGTAACTTGCTTCTTCAGAACTTTTCCCAACAAATCACTCCATTGGCTGGTGAAAAAGAAGATGACTGAAAAGGTTTATACTTCCTGGAGTTCCACTATCTTACGCTGTAATTTCTTCAGGTCTTTCTGTACTTTACATTTCTCTAAATCCATCTTTGTTTTCTGTATTTGTTGGAGGGAGCTGAGAGAGTCATGAATTGATTTAAATCCTATAAGTGGGTAAAAGGATAGGTACACTTAAACAATGCATTAAAACTTTTTTTAAAAAAGTTGCTAATTGGCAGTCCTGCCATAATTGATTATCATTTAATTCAAAGGGCATTAAATTCTATTAAGACCAGCCAAAAATTGTACATAATCTATTTCTTGTATGTCATGAAGATCCATTCACAATAATGTTTCAACTTATATCTGGTTATCTGGTTTCATTGTGAAATTAATTATTTTTCTCCTCCTCTCCCCAAATATATTGCATAATTCTATATTGCAAGAGAGAAATTTAAAATATTTTCTTTCCATATGCTTTGACAAGAGATTTGTGTGATTTTTTTTTTCAGTCTTGTTACCAAATTGAAGGTAAAGATTCCAGATGAGATTTTAAAACTTCTCTGAAAGTAGCCTATTTGAGGGACCTCAGAGCGGCCCCCTGCTGCCCTCCTCCCTCCTGGCACTTTGTATATCTCTTAACGTCTAGTCACTCATGACCACAGACCTATCAAACCTCAAGGTCTTAGGGCACAACCCATTTGTTATTCACTGGGGCCTTTCACATAGTCGTTTCTCAACGCATTTTTATTAAAGGCATAAAACAGCTAACCATTAATTTGAAGTTCCTACTTTCTAGAACTCCTCCTCATTAGTAAAATGAAAGAACTTGCAGATGGTAAATTTCTTTTCAGTTCACTATGGAATGAAGTTTTACCAATGGAATAAGTACAATTAAACCTCTGATAGTTAAACAGAAAGCAGGGCCTTTAAAAGAAGGGCCAGTTAAGTTTGGGACATAATTCCTGGCCAGATAATTCATTATTTTGATATGACAGTGGGAGGGGTGTATTGTGAGGGTTGAACTTCCAGGCAGCAAATTCTACTTATATGCCAGGAACATCTGGCAGATTGAGACCATCATGTCCTCCCAAGGCACCTCCAACATATCTCTATACAGGACCAAATTTGGTAGAATTTACACATAAATTTTTCTGAGATCTAGAAGAAAAAAGAAAAAAAATTACTTGGGACTTTCTCTAGTAAAGAAACTCTTCTGAGCCCTGGTAATTCCCTCAGAATTATGACTCAAGGCAGATGGTTGCTCCACAGCACCTATCCCATGTCCTTCCCTTTGACAAATTAGAAGAGTCTTTCAAATTAATCCTCTTTGATGTTAGCTCAGCTTGACACTGCTGCCATTAGCCTCTTTAAAAGAAAAGCAGTCATTATACTGGACTCTACTAATTCATCCCTCTTTCTCACTTCTAAAGGTCAGGTCTCCAGTCTGACATCTGTCCAAGCTCATTACTTGTAGTTGAATGAGAAGGGCATTTGATTTAGGCTCTTAATTTCATAACATACCCACAAGTCACGTCTTGGGTATCTCCAAGGATTTTTCAAGTCTGACAATTCCGTGATTCTATGATCTTAGTTAAAAAAAAAAAAAAAAAAAAAAAAATCTCACGCCAATGGCAGGCCTGTGACATTCCAAGTATGAGTGAAGAAAGTTAATTTATTTATATGCCTTCCAGTATAATACTCATATTCTATAGGATATTTAGAAAAGTGGATTAAATACATAAGGATGTCGCTGATGACAAGACTGATCCCTGGCCATTAGCTCAAAGTGGAAGACTGAGGGATTGAACAGGAAAGGACAGATATTCTTTACTTAATAAAAGGTGTCTGCTCACCTGATTGATATTCATTCTGCATTGTCTCTAATTCACCCCAGATCTGCTTTTCCATTTGTTCCATCTTTTTGGACAATTTATTTTCCATTTGCTTTACTCTACTTAGTTGTGTTTCCTGTTTCTCTGTGTTAATGAAATTCTCTACTTTGCTTGAAAGCTGCAGCAGTTTTTCTTCCATTTTATTTTCAGACTTTTCCTGTAAAAGAGATTATGGGATAAAACTTCTGAAACGTACATGGATTTATCCTTCAGCTTAGAGAAAATGTTTTTAACATTCATTTTTCCATGCTGAGCATGAAAATTCAAACCAAGTTCCTTTGTATCTAAAACTGTGTTCATAAGTATAAGAGTTAATCCCTTTGGCCCTGTTCATTTGTAGTTTCTGGAATTCAACATGTTATGGAATAAAAGAAAAGAGCTGTAGTGTGGCCCAAATTCCTTGAGAATTTGGCGTCTTAGTCTAATATTCAAAGATATTTTAGATACCGCTTTTCCTGAGGTCCTTGGACATCCCCCTTCGAATTTTATACCTCCATGTGGACAGACTTCAGCTAGAATAGTGATTCGTCATTCCAGTCATTTACTAGAATCACCTGGACCATACCCCCCCCCCCCGCCCCCAGAAATTCTGATTTAATTGGTCTGTGATGGAGCTCAAGAACTGATAGGATTTAAGCACTCTCCAGGTGATTCTAATGTGCAACCAAGGTAGGGACTGCAGAGGCAGCCTTAGGATAATCCGCCGCTTTTCTCCTCACTTCTCCACAGGGAATCTGGGAGCAGGAGCTGGGCATGGCAGGTATGACCCCTTTGGTTCTCCTCTCTTTGGCCCCATCTACCTCAGGAATAAGAGTTGGTGGATTCCAGTCTCTGTGTTCCTTATGGTGGGAGGTTTCTGCCTACATGATGACCCCATGGTTACCTGGTGCCGCCTATAACTGGTAAAGGAATCTGCCTAATTCAGGAGTGAAGAGCTAGCAGCCCCACTTGGCAGCTGCGATCTCACCACACATACTTCAATAGCCTTACCAGCGATAAAGCTTTGTTCATCTCCAACTCTTGGACTCCTTTGTAACTCTATCAGCTATTTACAAACTCGGGTTGGAGCTGGGGACATTATTTCCTGAGCTGCCTCTGCCTAAAGTCTCTCTACCTAAGTTCTCAAAACATCTTTAGTCAACTGCAGGACTGGCAGCCATTGACCACAGCGATGGCGCTGTGCTGCCCTTCCTATTGGGTAAGATGTGATGGTTGCAGTGGAAGAGGACTCTTGAAATAAGTATATTTCTCATATACCTTGGTAGCCTCATCCCAAAGCTTGGGGCTGTCTTTACATGGTCTGATCTGAAAAAGGAGTTTTGGAAACCTTTAATCTACTAACAGATCTCCAGAAAAGTCAAATGATTTGTCTGCACATCACCTGGGGAGTGTGCCTATAACCACTGATTCCCAGGGGAGGCCCCTAGAGAGTCAGATTCCCTAGGGCTGGGGTGGCAATCTGTGTGTGTGTGTATATATATATATATATATATATTTTTTTTTTTTTTTTTTTTTTTTTGAGACGGAGTCTCGCTCTGTCACCCAGGCTGGAGTGCAGTGGCGCGATCTCGGCTCACTACAAGCTACGCCTCCCGGGTTCACGCCATTCTCCTGCCTCAGCCTCCGGAGTAGCTGAGACTACAGGCGCCCGCCACCATGCCCAGATAATTTTTTTGTATTCTTAGTAAAGACAGGGTTTCACCGTGTTAGCCAGGATGGTCTCGATCTCCTGACCTCGTGATCTGCCCGTCTTGGCCTCCCAAAGTGCTGGGATTACAGGCCTGTATTTTTTTTTTTAAACCTCTTCAGATTCTTTTGATACGGGTAGAGCACACTCTGAGAAAGACAGGTTTGCAGAGTTGGGGAGTAGCAAACAGGACCAGAAGACAGGCCTCTGGACTCCTATTGTGGTGCTTAAAAAAAAAGTGACTGAAGCAGTGAAGATTACCATAAATGTAGAAGTGCAACCTCCCAGACCTTTACTCCCTGCTAACAAGGACCATGCAGGTGTTTACTTCACAAAATAACAGAACTCCTCACCAGTTTCTCCTGTAGGACCTTCAGACATTCATTTATATGGCCCAGGTGGTCTTTTCTATATTTGAGAAATTGGTTTTCTGTCCATTTTTTATTATTCTCAACTTCTTCATACAGATTACTTGAAAGTGAATTAAATCTAAGGGAAAAAATGTTTTGTTTCATTTTAATAAGTGAATTTAAACATAAAAAATTAGTGTTGAAAAAGTCTGCAGTTTTTTGAGGTGATAAGACTCAATGTGCCTAGCCAAGTATTTGTGGGGTGATAATGGGAGGTGCAGAGGCAAGGTAAGTACACTCTGGGTTCCTGTCCTGAGCTTGAGTTCAGTCCAGCTACTGTTAACACCTCCTCTACATACCCTAAAATACATACACACATGACAGGAGCACTGTCGGCTAGGAGCTAACCACAGCCACACTGAAATGTAGCGTTATCCATGCAGAATTGCCCTCATGGCCTGGGGCTCACTGGTTGTGTGTGGAGGAAATACTTTGATAAGTTCACTTGGGGTGGGGACTATTACTCATGCTAGGAGTTGTCTGTCAAAGGCCAGATAGTAAATATTTTAGGCATTGTGGGCCATATATTTTCTGTTGCAACCACTCAATGCTCCATTGCACTGGGAAAGCAGCCACAGACAGTATGTAAAGAAATGAGTATGGTTATAGTCTAATCAAACTTTATGTAATATTCACATGTCATGAAATATTGTTCTTTAATTATTAGAATGCATAGAAACCATTCTTAGCTGTGGGTAGATGTGGCTAAGCGCGACAGTTTGCTGACTCCTGCTAAGTGCCAGTATGTGACTGGGAGAGGATCAGGGGCAGAGAGGACCTGCACTGTCTAGCAGAGGAGAGAAAGGTCAGAGGCGGGAAGGTGGAGGGAGAAAGCCCCCAAAGAACCTGGGAAATGCGCCAAGGGGGACTTTATGTTGCCTTTGTCTCAGGCAAAATCTTCCATAAAGTCCCCATTGCTACCAATGAGTCTGTGTGAGTGGATTTTTTATAGGGGGCATTTAAAGAGGCCCTGAATTACTCATGTGGGGCAAAAACAGAAGTAATAGAGGTACAGGTAGGGACCTATGGGACCTGTCAAGATGCTGCACCATAGAAGTATTAACAGAGAATGAAGGATTTTTAAAAATGGAAGTGGATAAAAGGGTTGGAATCATATATCATCAGTTGAAAAGTCACTGTAGAGTGGCTGCGGGTTTGAGGAGAGAGGGGATTCCAATCTGAATTAAATCAGGTATGGGACTGGGAAGAGGTAGGATGAGGGATGGGGACTTGTGAGTGGTTTCTGTGTGTTTTCTGCATATGACTTGCTCGTGATAAGATGTCGGCTTCAAATTCCCTTTTAGAATAGGTAAAACTTTTCGATTGGCAAGAACAATGTTTGTTATTGAAAGTATTCAGACTGTTTTACAATGTATGGTACAGACTGTTAAATTAATAATTGCTCTGATGTTTTCAGACAAAATTATATGCATATAATTTAGTTTGTGATGTTTATCATTGAAAATTAACGATTAAATCATCCTGGACATACACTGCACGTACACGCCTCTCTTTCTCTTTGGAAAAAGTGTTTGGGCTAATTATTAGAAAATACAAGTTCTGTGAAATCACTGCTTTTAGGCTGATGGCTCTCAACTGGAGGCAATTGCCCCTCCCACCTTCTCGCCCCCAGGGGACATTTGGTAATGTCTGGAGACAATTTTGGTTGTCACAACTGAGAGATGTTACTGGCATCTAGTGGGTAGACACTAGGGATGCTGAGAAACATCTTAATGCATAGGAGAGGCCCACAACAAAGAATGATCCAGCCAAAATACCAATAGTGCCAAGGTTGAGAAAACCTGACTCAGATGATGAAACCAAGGAATGGGAAATGTAAGTTCATTTTCCAATAGTTGTATTAGTTACAGTCTAATAGCTAAATTCTGATCTTCGTCCTCTGAATTCTCTCATTATTTTTGACACAGAGTGATATTTTTCACATAGATATGAGGCATATCTTGATTGACTGTTGAGTACCTCAACGCTGCAGACAACGGAGTTGGCTTCTATTTGTGTTCTTTAGTCTACTTATGATTCCCAATCACCTGTGCTATTGGTTAACAGCTATTGGATCTCAGACAAATAAACCCACCCACCGAATATGTAGACTCCCTTATTTTAGCCAATTATTTTATCTATCTGGAATACTCTTCCTCAGAATATCTATTGGCTCCTGCCCTCATTTCATTCAGATTTACATTCATACACCACCTTAAAAAATAGAACTCTTTCTCCTTATTTGAAACTTCCTATTCTCTTACCCTACTTAATTTTTCTCCAAAATTCTCATCACCATCTGACATACACTAATTTGTGTTCTATCTCCTCCACTGAAACTTAAGCTCCATGAAAGCAAGAATTTTGCATTGTTTATGGCTGAGAACAATGCCTGGAATATAGTGAGTGTTCAATAAATAGTTGGCTAAATGAACAAATGGATCATTCTTTCTCATTAAGTATCTTTTATTAGCATTGCTGATGAATAACAAATCATAGATTTGTGAATTTATTTAGAAATCTAATCTATTTTGGTTTTCATCTTCCTTTCCCTGCCTCTGGTGGAAGTATTAATAGTCATAGTTTAGGGGGCCAGTAAATCCCCACATAATCAAGAGATAGCTTTACAATTGAGAATCCAGCCTTCAGTGCTCACCTTTACTGTATAACAAATAAATGAGAGCATTTACTCTTTTATCACTGATACAATATTAACATCCCTCTGAAAACCAAGGAACCATTAAATATGCCCATGTAGTATCTTTGGAAGGGCATATCAGTAATTAAAATTCTGAAATTAAAGTCATAAAGAATGAATTACTACTTATGATCCTTTTATTATGAGATTTGCTTGCAATTGAGGATTAATTTTCCTAGTAACACTCAGAAGTTGGACTCTGTTGGTAGTTTATTAAAATTTGAAAGCATTTTTGAAACAGCAATCTCCTTGAGAGATGAAAAGAATAAGTAAAATAAAGGTTTGTATAACTCTTTTTCTTTGCATAGGATTTTCCCAGACATAATGGACATGATTTGCCATAATCTATTAATTACAGAACTTACAGTTAAAATGTCAACAGTATGAATCTATCTTAGATGACATTCACATTTTAGATCCCAAATCTTCTATTTCTATAGGTGTAAGAGCATTTCTATTAGATGTAGATAGATAGGTGATTACATAGAGCTTTTTCTTTCCTTTTCCTCAAAACACAAAAGTCAGACATTTAAATTATAGCTAGAGACCTCACTAGGATGATGAGGGCTATTGGTTGTTTTTATGTTTTTGTTTTTAAGTGTTTATGCTGATTTAATCAAATTAAAATATACACTGAGAGCAATTGCAAGGGAGAAAGTTACAAAAGAGTGAAGGAAAGCTGAGTGAAGATCTACAGACACAGCAGAGCACTAGGAAGAGAGCTGCAGTGAGGGATTAGTGGTGAAGGCAGTCAGGGTCTGCCTTCCTTGGTCATGGATGATGTACAGAAATGAAGATGTAGCTCTATCCTAGGCCAGTTTTGCCAGTGCACTTATGTCCAAAAACCAGTGTCTTGTGTTAAAAAAATCTATTGAATGAACTTTTCCAAGATTTTGAATTCTTGGAAACTATTGCCGCTGGCAGCCTCTCAAGAACTTAGATAGGGCTTTGACCAAGTGTGAATGTAAAAAGAATTAGTGGCCTTTCATTTGCTGATAAACAGAAGATATTTTCAGTTTTTTGTAATCATATTTGAAAAAGAGCTTAAGACAGACCATATGCTATTTTATTTTAGAGATTGAGTCTAAGATTGTAAGTTTCACATCAGAAACCAAAAATTAGTTCCAAGAAATACTGTTTTTCTACTAACTTTACACCTACAGATAGAACTCTCAAACTAATTTCTTCTTAATGTTTTATGATTTCTAATTAGTGACACTAAAAATCAATTCTGCCTCTACTCTGATAGAAAGACTTTTGTTTCTTGGATATTCCAAATTGTTCAAATCCCAATATATTCATAGCCTGTTTCCCAGCCACCCAAGTCAATGTGGTCTTTCCATTTTTAAAATTTCTGTGGTAGAATTAGTTTTCAATAGACAGAATTGTGAGATGGAGACATCATGAATTGATCAAAACAATTTGAGCTTTAGAATCAGACACTTTCTAGCTGTATGATTTTGGGCAAATTAATCTCCATGATTGTAGATATCCTCATCTTTAAGATAGGGATAAATAAGAGCTACCCTGCAGAGCCGGGTGCATTGAGTGTCTTCAGCGCTAGTGGTTGGTAGGCATTCATAAATGACAATTACTATTTATTTATTATTTCTGCCTATTGATATATCATCTCATTTAACATTGTCTTAACTTTTGCTTTTCCTGTGTTTAGCTTTTCACTTAGTTTTTTCTTCCCAACTGTAAGTGGCAAGGATTATGTTTGGATATTCTAAAACACAATGTACATAATATAGGTGCTCAAAAATCATTCATTCATTCATTGGCATCTACTTCTGTTTCAATGTGCTGGGTGCTAAAGATACAAAGGTGAATGTGACATATCTCTGCACTGGGTAATTTTTAACTTTCTATTGTGGTAGTGTTTTCAAAGTTGGATGATATTATTTGAGTCTATGCATTTGCTTCGTTGACCAAATACGTTTTCTTTTCTTATAAATCACTGTCTACTAAACAAGCATCAGCAATAAGAGCTATCTAGGGAGTGACTGTTAAGTGCTGCCCCTGCCAAACCCTTGTTAAAAGACAGCTTTATTTCCTGATGGCCAAGACTCTTGCTATGTAAGCACTAAGTAGTTGGCTTAGGACATTACTTAGCAGAAGCTCTGAGGATGATCCTTCTGAGGAGGAGGAACAGTGGAGGGGTTCAATGTATGTCTTTGTCGGATCCAGTGATCAGTGCCCAAATCCCAGCAATTCACTAGAATTCGTCAGAAAACATTGTAGCTTTTAAGTTCAATATAAGTTTAGTTGACCATTAAACTTGAATTTGTAAATGTTTCTAAATGGGAAGATTGCCTATTTAACCTTTTTTTTTTTTTTAATTTGCAGACATAGTTTTATTATTTATTTATTTAGGTACAGAATCTCACTCTGTCGCGAGGCTGGAGTGCAGTGGCATGATCTCTGCTCACTGCAACCTCCACCTCCTGGGTTCAAATGATTCTCTACCTCAGCCTCCTGAGTAGGTGAGACTATAGGCACGCGCCAGCACACCTGGCTAATTTTTGTATTTTTAGGAGAGGCGGGGTTTCACTATGTTGGCCAGGATGCTCTCCATCTCTTGACCTCGTGATCCGCCCACCTTGGCCTCCCAAAGTGCTAGGATTACAGGCATGAGCCATCAAGCCCGGCCAGAAGCATAGTTTTAATTTTGAAAAATGCGCATGTCAAGTTTGAGGCGTCTCAGCTGCTGTTTCTGGTGCTCGGCCGCCAGGAATGGTGGCTATGGAAGCTGAGGTTCTTTGTATGTTTTGGCCACTGGTATCATTTTGACAACCTGCCTTAACAGGTTTTAATTGTATCTTGGCAAGTGAGGTGACATGAAAGCCATCATCTTGGATTTCAATTTACTAATGAGGATGGTGGTGGAGATGGAATTCCTTGGCGTTTTGAAGGCATTTGCTCCTGGATTCCTTGTCAAGACACCTGCGAGTAGGTGTGGCACAGGGAAACCTTTTCAGTATTGCTCTTCTCTTCTTTCCCACCCTCAAGGTACCTGGGTCATTTTCCATGATTGACATCTGGTAACCACAGAGGTACCCTGAGTGAAGGTGGACCCGGCCTGCAGCAGCTCTGCTCTTTTTTCCCTACTTTCCTAAACTTTATTAGAAAAAAAAGCACTAGAACATAGTCACTTTTCTGGGATTCATCCCCCAAAAATGTGACGTTTGATTTCCAAACATGCCAGAAGTGTACATGGTTCCCAGTTGTACTAAATAGGTGAGAAGCTGAAGTCCTAAAATGTTCATCTTCCAACGTCTCCCAGTCTGTGGTCTGTCCTTGGATCAGCAATAATTGTCTGAACAGCTACTATAGCTTCATTAATTTTTGTCTGTAGCTCTCTGAGCTCTTCTATATGCAACAATTGCAGAATTTGATCAGCTACATTAAGAACTGCATCTCCTGCATCAAAACCAATAATATTTTGTTTAAAGCAACAGGCAAACCCTCTTTTGTTTGATTTGCCTTAGCAACTGCACCCTGTGTCAGGTGCTCCTGAGCCAAAATTCGAATTGCCTTAAGCATTACCAGGTAATCGTCATGACACTGAATCTGAAGCAGGTTAGCCTTCACACCAGCCTTAACATCAGGATTATTTACGTGCAAATTGATCAACGGTTCTGCATTTTTAGTTGCATTGTCAGTCGTTTTTGCATAATCAGGTAGTAAGTCCTTGTATTTTTCAGCATTATCTCCATATTCAAGCCTAACAGCTAAAGAAACCAGTCAATAGCTTCTTGTTGATCTTGAATCTTGAAAGGCGGTCAACAGCTCTGAGACACTTTTCAAAGAACTTGGGCCAGTCACTGCTGTGGATGTTTCTTAAATTACCTGTCTTCAATCTTGTAGTGTCTAATTTTCTGGTCTTCAAGCCAAACAAAGGTTAACCTTAACCTTGCTAAAAGACTTTTTTAGAGACTGGGTCTTGCTCTGTCACCCAGACTGGCATGCAGTGGTGCAATGATAGCTCATCATGACCCAAACTCCTGGGCTTAAGTGATCCTCCTTGCCTCAGCCTCCTGGGTAGCTGGGACTACAGGTGTGTGCCACCGTGCCTGACTAAACTTAACCTTTAATGTTATTAAAACACTTTTATTTAAAAGTTAATCTCTTTATTCAGAGAAATTTCTTTCTTAAAAAAAGCAAATTGTACACATTATCTACTTTATTTTTAAATTTATATGTACCTCAAAATCCTAACATTAGCGACAATTTACTTTTTTTTTAAGTAGTAGAACTACTTATTCTTATTTTTGTTTAAAGTTAACCTTGTTAAAAACTAAATCCAGTACACTAGATTGAAACAGAAGTGCTCTGGAAAAAACAACAACAACAACAACAACAACAACAACAACAAAAAACCCTGTCTTTCTCTTTGAGCAAAATACATTTTCAATACATATCTCAGTCAAATGGTTAATATCGCTAATGTGAAAGAATCCTACACATTGATAAGAAAATGACAAAAATCCCAATACAAAATTTGATAAATAATAATGGGCAATTCATAGAAAATTCAAATGGTAAAAGGGAATGCAAATTAAAACAGATGCTTTTTTCATCCTTTGGCCAGTATTAAAAAGAGAACATATTCATCGTTGGTTAAAATGTAGAGAAAAGTCTTCTCATACATTGCTGGTGGAAGTGTAAAACCCTACAACATTTTAAAAAAGAAATTTATAAAATTTAAAAAATGTATATATATATATACTCTTTAACCTAGCAAGCTTGCCTATAGAAAACAAAAGTGCCAGTATTTAAGGATATCTAAGGATATACACATAATACATTTTTTTGTTTTTTTTGTGGTAATCATAAACTAAACATAATCCATTCAGCAATAAGATAAATGGTTGAATTAATTATGGCACATATATAAGTTAAAAGATTGTACAGCTATAAAAATGTTAGAATATTTACTGATCTGGAGAGATATCCAGTATGTACTAGAAAAATCAAAGAATTGAGTAATATGTATAGAAATTATTTTTAAAACCCATGCTTCCTCTATACATATAATACATACATATCCTTTCTGTTATATATTTATATTAACAAGGAGGAAATTGAGGATGGCTACATCCCTGGTATTAATATTGATTACAACAGAAGGCTGATATGCTGACCTCTTTTTTCACTGTTGTTGTTGTTGTTTTTACAATTAATGCATATTTTTAATTTTTAAAACTAGAGAAAATTTAAATATAAAAGTCAGTTGTGTAAAAATGAATTATTAGAATTATTTGCCTGGGGAAAAGCGTGCTTTATAGATTCACTGTCACCTACTGTAATACTACTGAAATGTTAAGACTTCATTACTTAAAGTGAGAAAAAGATTCAAGTTTACACCGTTATAAAAGTGTCCAGATTCAGATTTAACTACTCAGATGACTTTCCATAAGCCAAATTCCCACAGTACCAAACAGAAAAAATAAGCATCATCAGTAATGAAGCAGTTAGCCCTGGATCTCAAACATTTCCTTTTTCTCTGTTTTCCACTTGTTAATATACCTCATCCCTTTAAGTCAACCTCCCATTTCAGTTTATAAATCCCATCCCTTCCCTATACAATCAATTCTTAATCTGTATATCTAGAAACAGATTACTTTTCTACTTTTCCTTTGGACAGTTTTCTTTGTCTTAATTCCAAGCTAAAGGTATTAGATCTAGTATCACACAGCTATTCACTGAATACGCTCATTGTGCTAGAATTTAAGAAAGTAGAAATGCTTTCTTAGAATATGAAGAACATGGGTATTTTCTGTTTACTCGACAACTACTTCTCCAAATTTTAGTGAGGACAATTGTTTTACATCAACTTGTAAGACACACATATTTCACATTTTAGCATCTCCAAAATCAAGAGCTATCTTAAAATGATGATATGCTGTGGTTTGTTAGCTTCATGTTTTACAGGTGCAAAATTATAATGGTGCATGTTATATTCAGTGGCACTTAGATTTAATAAAATATAGTAGAGACGGGAAAAAATGGAGAAAGTAGAGTATTATCAGGATACTGGATTTGACCAAGGCATTTAACCCAAATGGCATGAGACATAGAGGAAAAAGAATAAGAGTGTAAGGGACAGTAGATAGTATCCAAGTGACTAGAATTTCCCTCTGCCTGCACCACGACCCTGGGAAATGATGATCTTTTTTTTTTTTTTTTTAAAAAGAGAGATTTGATAATAAGGAAGCCAGTAATTTGAACATTTGTAGAGCCCTGTCTCCTTTACTGCTTTCTCCATTGAGTGGAGGAAAAAATTCAGTTTAAGATGGGGTAGAGATGAGTCTTAAAAAGAAATAATGTAAAGGAGTAAATAGAGGACCTTAGAAAGAATCTTAAAGGAAAAGCTTATCAAAATCATTTTTTAAAATATTTGATAATCTTGAGGAATGAAATCATTTTCCATAGTGCTTTACTTTGAGACATTTTAATATAAAATTGATAATAAGTAAAAATTACAGGAAGGGCAAAAATGATTGTGTCAATTCAGTTGGGACATTGTGCAATCGAAGTGAAGGACAAGATTAATCTTCATAATTCTTTTATTATAAATAATGTATAAATTACTTTAGTGTAGAATATTCTCTGTGTTAGTTCACTGCTTTATTTCTTGGCCAGGTTCAAATTCCTGGGATAGGTTTTTATTTCATGCTAATGCTTTCATTAGTCAAAACTCTTTGGAATGCACTTAACAGAATTAAAAATCTTCTATTCACTTACTTGAATTCCAAAAGGTTCATTTCGTGGCGATAATCCCCCTGGACCATCTTTAACTTTGAGGTTTGCTCAGAACTGGCAGTCTCTATCTTTCCCAAGAGCTGCATCACCTAGTCAAAGCATAGGAGGGATTTTTGTGTGCATATGAACAAAACCACCAGCATTCACATTAATATACTTTATTCCTTTCAGGAGCCGGGAAACAGATTTGAACGTAAAGCATGATTGCACTTGAAAATGCCTTGTGTTCAAATGAGTATTATAGTTACACTATCTTCAAGGAAAGAATAATAGGGAGTGTTCCATTCTGTTGTGTAGAATATTCTTTTTGATCATAGGCCATCTAATGATATAACAAAAACATGCTATTTCCATTAGTTTGTTTATTAATCTGTTAATTTGATTATATCTCTACTTCTCTATTGTCTCCCCAGTTACAATACAAGATATGGTATGCTACTGCCACCATATCCTCAGTGCACATTAGGTGATCAATGGTAAATGATCAACAAATACTTATTGAATAAATGTTTAAATACACAATCAGGCTCTGAGGAAAACACACATGACTGGCCCAAGATTTCCAGATAGTATTCTGACATGAATACAAATGAATCCCAAGTGAAATGACTTAGGGCATTTAAGGATAGGAAAAAAACAAATTCTAGTTTTAGAATTTAAGATTAGAGTACCTTCCAAATTGCCAGAAACATTGAGAAAGTTCCTTTATGTAAAATAACTGGATTAAAAAATAGATGGAGAATTGGAATCCATAATCATGCCTAAAGTAGTCACTTCTAAGGAGAATGAAACTACATAATTGGCTTTGGTCAAACAGAATTCAGCTGCTAATAAAGGTGGTCATATGGAGGAGAATGGGCATTTAATAAAATGAGTTCTTATGAAAGAAAGAGGAGAGTAATGGAAGGATTTGAATAGTTAAGTGCTGGGTGGGCAACCAACAGTCCTTGAGTGGCTATTTACAGGAGAAAGATACACTTAAAACAGGCTAAAGATGGAAAAGTTTGAAATAAAATAATAGGCAATTTATTATAAAAAGAAATTATAGGTAAAGGCAAAGGAAAAGAAAGCAGCAGAGCAATATTAACGTTAGGTAAAATATCACTTAAAGCAAAACACATTTAAAAATGGGACAAAGATGGTCATCTTTATAAATGAAGAGTAAAACTCATTGTGAAAATAGAGAGCTGTGAATATTTATATATTGAGCAAAAAAGTAACAATACATTAGTGATTTTAAATGACTTTTCTTGACTCTTTACTGGTCAAGTAAGTAAAATATAAATAACAATACAGGAAAATATAAAAACTACAAATGTATTTAATAGATTTATATACCAAACCATGTAACTTGGAAACAGAATTCTTTTTTTTTTCAATATGTTGTTGATATGATTGAGTACCTTGAAAAACAAAGAGAGTTTAAAAATTATTGGGCATAATAAGATGGGTGAGTAAGAGGCAGATAAGGAAAGCCAGATGACAGATGAGACTAGAGGAAACTATGTGCTTAGTAACACCTGCTCTGGACTAACTGGCTCCCACCAACAAATAATCAAATGCCAAACTTTCATATTCCCAATTTCCAGAGGATTTCTACTTTGCTCTGCCCAGATGACTTCAGAGGAGAAGAGAAGTGATTGTTTTGCATAAGATATGTGACAAAGTGGAGCACAGAAAACTTGGCATTGGGCTGCACCTTAATGAAACCATTGACTGGGAAGATGAAAAAGAGACACTTCAGGCAGAAAAGAGCATGAACTAGGGGAAGATGTGTAATATCTTGGGGTGAGTGGGAACCTACCTACAGGGAGCTCAGCATCACTGGACATAAAGGGTGAGTCAAGGAGCACAGCCAGTCTAGAGATGGCCTTTAAAATCCAGACCAACCAAAGGACTTACATGTTATTTTGTAAGAGATACAACCCATTGCAGGGCTTTAAGCAGGGATGTAACATGAACAATTCACATTTATGTTGGACTTTTAATAATAATAGCTTCCATGGGAAATTCTTTTGTTTATGTTCCTTGGTTCCATAGTCTTTGAGTAAAAATCATTTTACTACTTCCAGAGAGTAAAACAATAACAGCAATGGTGGACTCAAGCAGTGTATGCTTAGAGTAGATGACTGTGTTGGAACACAGCAGACAATTCATTAAACATTTGTTGATTGAATTGACTGTTCCCACAGTGTACATGAGTGAGCTGTCAGAAGTACACCCCTTTGGAAGAAAAGAGTTCTCTTAAAAAATTACCACCTGATTGGGCATTTTGATAAGCTATAATGATCTTACTTCTGGCAGTAACACATAATATGAGTCCCATCTATTTTCAGTTACCTTCATGTCCAAATTCTTGGAAAGAGTTTCCAGGGCGGGCATGAATTCTTGAATGGCTTTCTCAATTTGCCGGTACTCTTGCCTGAAGAAGTGAATGTCTCCAGAAAGCTTCAAGATGCTTGAATCACATCTAATGGCAAGATGGAAATTGGTGTGAGATCAATATCTTTATAATATTTGTAATACTAGAGTAGACACCTGCACATTCATTTGATGGCCAAAGTTCTAAAGTCATTTGAAGAATGAGTTGGTAGATACTGGAGTGTATTCAGGAATCTCTTCATTTTTCTCTTCTCTTTCTGATGAGAGAGAAACCAGGTTGAATGCATTGGCTCAAACTAGAGCACCAACTTGAAATAATTTAGATGGGGATATTGTGGTAAATTGAGGGAAATTTTACATTTTCAGCTTGATATTAACTTAGTCATAGGGAGTTATAGCAAATTTTGATGTTTTGGAAATACAGGCTGCTGCCTATGGTTAGGCAAAATTAAAATTTGTTCCACTTTTATATCATGTTCTAAATCCATTTTCCTCTCTTTATCCGCTTTTCTTGGCCCCCAGATTGTCAATTCTCCTTTGGCAAGAAAAGGTGTCCCAGCAACCCAAAATCTTCCAATCCATCTTCTCCAATTTCTCACCCTTTTAGCCTCAAACAAAACTCCTGTTCCTTGAATGGTCTCAGTCAGGCATTGCCATGTTAAGACAAAACCAATTCGCACTAACATATGAATGAAGCTTTGGTCCATAAAGTTGCATGTGATAATTTACGGAAGGAATTCTGGTCAGAAGGAGCTAGTGAGGTGAGCTGTAGATTATCTTCCCAGTATGTTAGGGAAGATAACACACAGAACCACACCCTCACAGCCATTACCCTTGACTCTCTTGGGAGAGAGCAGGTTGTACAGTGTATTAATGGTCAGTTTCTGTATACTTTCACATATGCATGAAGGATAGGTTGAAGAGCACTGAACGACTTTATCTTTTGTATATCTGAGTTATCAGGGATTATTTTGATATTTGTCATTTTATAAAATAACTGTTCTGACTGTCATCAATTAATATTAATTAGGAAATACATTTTCATATTATTATGCTAAGTGATATAAATATTGCTTGCTTTATGACTTCAACATTTTTAGGATCCCAGAATGAATCTTTTTTCCTTAAAGTTTTTGGTGCAAAAGATTTGAGGCAAAGGTGAGTTAAGACGGCAATTTTGCCTGAGCATTTCTTTAAAAAGATCCTAAAGGTATCCCTTTAGTATCACCCTTAAAGATGACTGTAGTGGTGGTGAAGAGGCTGCTGGGAGAAAAAACTAGGAATTAGTCTGATCAAGAATGGGAGCAGGATGGTAGGCACAACATTCCTGATCAAAAGATGTTTTGCACCTTTGCATAGACGCACTGTCATTGTCAGAATGGCACCTCTATTGTTGGTTAGTTACAATGTCCTGATTTGAGTCCGTATTAAGAGCCCCAAAAACTACTCAGGAGTGGCGGCTGCTGCTACCACTACTTCCTGCCATCTCCCTTCCATCCTTCTCTTGTTTCCCACCTTCAGGGACAGCAGGGTCTGTGCAGTGGAGGCCACTGGTTAAAAATGTGTTTCTGGTGTCAGATAGACCATGCTTCTGCTACTCCCTAGGTTTATGATCTGGGACAAGCTTCTTAATGCCTACAGGTTTCAGTTTTCCTCATCTGAAACAAAGGGGTAATGATGCCATGGTCACTGCGTACAGTTGCACAACTTGTCTACCACACAACTCCGGGGGTGCCAGAAACACATGGTTGACAATGCAAATAGTGTCTCCTGGAGTGCTCAGCCTTCAAAACTGTAAGTGGCTGTCCTGAATAGTGTTACTTTGTAGGTTATTTAGGGATGGAAGGAGGCGATGCATGCAAAGCATATAGCCAGTGCCTGACACAGGGGGAGCACCCACATAAGATTAGCAGCTAGGATTTATTTACTCATCTCGAGAGTTGCCGCCTATTCATTCTCACCTCCCCTAACCACCACCCACTAGCCTAATCCCACATGTTGAAGTCAAGGATTGATTCATAGCTTTTCAAAGCTGCACTCTATATTCCAAAAGGAGTTCCTCTACCTACTCCTTCTTTAGAATGATTTTATTGTTTCTGTTAAAATGGTACATGACTGTTACAAAAAATTTCATATCATGCCTAAAAAACAAAGGTTAACATCTTCCCAAATCCCGCTTAAAAAGTAACATTATGAATATTTGATTATCATTCTGTTCATCATTATACATATATACTTAAAATGTATGTGTCCTTATAGATATATATATATACACGCACATAGAGATAGGAAGGAAGAAACATAATTTAGAATACTGGGATTATATTACATGCATCAACTTTAAAATATTACATTTAATTTTACTTTAACCTAAGAAAAGGTAAGTGTAGTGAGAAATGAAGAAACCGCTGAGTTTCAGATATGTATTTCTTCACTATGAGAGAGATTTCTTTTCTAAAAAAAGAAGCTATAAAAAGCTATCATAGATTGGAATTGTTATACTTGTCATAGCTACCATCTCAATACCAACTTTAGATATTACTAACTTGAGATATTATCGTTGACCATATGCCAAAAAATGAGAAAATAAATAAGTTTATATACTTGTGCCTTCAACATTAAAAAAATAACTTGCTAATTTAAAAATGTTAAATTTTATGACATTTGCACTGTGTTCTGTCACTAGAATGCCTATGGTTATTTAATGTTCACTTTATATGTAGATTAGACATTCATTGATCACCCTTTCAAACCATGATTTCTTTTCTAAGATCCTTATTTTGATTTATTCCATGGTTGGCCAGAATTTGTCATCCAGATTTTAAAATCAGGGCTCAGGAGTGCTAGAATTCTCAAGTTCTTGAGTGCTTGAGAATGCCTGACTTCTCTTGTGATTGAAAGGTAACTTAGTTGAGATAACATATTTTTCTTTCTTTCAGAACATGACAAACATCAATCCATTCTTTTCTAGCATTGGTTGAGGTGGAGAAGTCTGAGGTGATGACATTTCTTTCCTTTTTTATGAGACTTGCTTTGTCTACCTGGATGCTCTGTGAGTCTTTGTCCTTGCTGTTCAGCAACTTCAACCAGGATATCTTGGTTTCATTGTTCTTATATCATTTTTTCCACGGTCACAGTGTTTCCTTTTAATCTATAGATTCAAATCTGTATTTCAAGAATGCTTTCTTCTCTTATATGCAGGATGTTTTTTTGAAGAATTTGTTCTGTTTCTTCTTTAGGGCCTTCTATTAGTTCTATGTTGGATGAGTTTTCCTTGTCTATCATATGACAATTTTTCTACAATAATTTTTATATTGAAAAGTATCTCTTTTCATTTAGTGTGGTTTACTCATGTTTCTACTTTTTATAACTCATTATTTTTGGTTGCATTTGTTCTATTTTAGGAGTTTCTAAGGTAGCTTAAGCTTCATAATATCTTGACTTTTTCTTTTACCTATCCCTGAGCAATCTGGTTTATCTATCTCCTTTTGTTATCTGATAGTCTCTTTTGGAGGGAAATCTTTTTATACCTTACTTTGAAAATTATTATCTATTTTATCGAAGTGAAAGATGCCTGTAATTTGAAAGTTAATAATAACAAGTTGATAATAAACTACAGTGGTTTCTGACCCTTCCTCTCGCTGCCTCTCTCAGTTCCTCTCCCTAGTGGCAAGGGCCTGAAGCCTTTTGAGAATTCTGTTGCATAAAGTTAGGTTGTTCTCAGCTTATCCTACAACTTTAAAATTGGCCTTCATTCTGCTAAGGCAGTTTTCATGTTTCCATCTGCTTTCTAAGTTCCAAGACTTCCATGCTGATATCCCCAGTCCTTATGCGTTCATATTTTAAAGAAAAAATCTTTTTACTGTAGATTCAGTGGGGCTTTTGGAAGGGCCAAATTACATGTGACTGTTCACAAGTAACCTTTTTTTAAACAAATAAAATTCTTTGTCTTTCATTCTTAATTTCTTTGAAACCGGGAGAACTTTTGGTTTGAATTCTTCCTATACTTTTCTGGGTAGTTCCTTCATGAAGTATATTCACTAGTCTTTTGCTTATGTTTTTATGTATCTATGATCTGTCTGTCTGTCATCTATCTATCTGTCTTCTGTCTATCTGGGGATAATAGTGGAGGTGATTCATATGCATGACTGCATTCTAACAATCACTATTATGTCTTTGAATGTTTCTGCTACCTGCAGAGGATCAGTGAGCGTGTTTGGTGGCAGGTAGATCGCATCCTCTATTCAGGCTTGCAGTACCAAATCTCTCTCCTTCCTCAGCCTGTTGCACTTCAGCCAGTTTCTCTCGGTATAAGTGGGCAAGGAGGGAGGTCCTAGATGATAGGAATGGTAAAGAACCTGGTTGCATCTTTGGCTATACCTCCCAGCTGTTCAGTGTTGCTGACCTGAATCTCTAAGGGGACATGTCGTCTTTCTCCGATGACCCACCCTCTAAGTAATGCTGCTTGATTCCATTTTGCCAATGTATCTCAAAATTATGACTGTTGACTAGTGGGAAATCATTATGTTTCAAATCTGAGAAGGACTGTATCAGTCCAAATGTCACAATATTTGGTAAGTGTGTTCTGTTTGTGGTTACTAGCTGCAGCAACTTCCATATTATATTAAAGATGGAGTTTTTGTTTTCCTCCTTTTTCATTTTCACTGGCACTGAGTTGTCTCAAGTAAGAGGAGTGGAATAAAAGGTCTTCATTCTGCCCTCTGTAACCAAGACTGTTTCCTCTTAAGTGGTCAAAAGTTGATAATATCCACACTATGTTTCTTTAAAGAACATGATTTTGCATTTAACCACAAAGCAACAAAATTTGTCTTTTTTTTTCCCCCACATGTAGGTTTGTTCTGGAGTCCTAAAGAGCCAAATGGGGCTAGAAAGTTGACCTCAGACTGCTGCTACGGATTGTAAGTCATATGCATTCCTAGGCTGCCCTTCGCATGCTCACCTTTTCCTTTTTCGCACTTCATCTGAATCTCTAAGGGGGTATGTCCTCTCTTTCTGATGACACACCCAAGCCTCTAGTCTATTAAATAAAGGACAGGGTGTCAAAAGCAGGTTGGCAACTTTGAGAACCTCGTCTCTTTGGGAGGACTTACTTTTAAACAGCAATGTATTGCCATGGGAAATAAAGTGTAAAATTCAAATCTCATTGTAGTTGTTAAATGTTGAGACTGATTTATGAAGCAGTAAAATGTTTGCTAGCAATTATGTTAAAACAACCAACTTAATTTTACTTATGCTAAAATGCTAATTGGAATAGAGGTCCCTCTATGTGGAAAGACAGTAATCAATCTGCCTTAGCTTGTCCATTAGTCATTTGCCTGGCAAAGGCACAGAAAAGGAACAGGAGAAGGAGGGTGAATTTAAGTCTCATGGCTCTTAGCCAAATTCTGTCTCAGATTGCCAAAGAGATTTTAGAAATTTTCCATAAAAGGGAGACATTTCAAGGAAAAATAAGACCTTGTACTAAAATCACTGCTTATGATTGAAGGGGAAGGTAAGCAAAAAGCTAGCAGAGCAAAAAGAATTGCATATCTTGATGTAATTTCGTTGATCTCTTTGTTTCTTTGAGATCCATTTGCTATTTTGTCTTGTAAATAGAACAGGGTTTACAAAAATAAAATAATTGGTTTGTAAGTGGTTTGCAGGAAGAAATAGTTGGTAGGAGTGTCATCAGCATACCACCACATTTAACTGAATTATATTTCCTTTAAAACATGTTTGAAATTAGTCAGTCATGGTGGCATACACGTGTAATCTCAGGTACTCATGAGGCTGAGGCATGATGATTGTTTGAACCTGGGAGGCCAAGGTTGCAGTGAGCCAAGACTGCACCACTGCACTCCAGCCTGGGTGACAGAGTGAGACTCTGTCTCAAAAAAGAAACAAACAAAGAGACCATGTTTGGTTTTATCTTCTTTGCAAAATCTTGGCACACTTAAATAGGGTTATGGGTTTGCTGATATTTGTCTTGTTATCTTGTTTTGTAACTTACCCAAATATTATAAAACTTCTTTGGTATTGATCAAATATTAAATAATGAAATAAATATTTCTACATATATTTTATTTATATATTCATATATAATATAAATTCACCTCTTTATTCTCTGGACTGACCAACAGTTATTTTTTTCTTTGATGAGAGTTTTTCAAACATACATATTATTTCCTAGACAGTATCTTTTATTTTTAACAAGAATGAAGCCACACTCCAGAACCCAAAGCTACTAAGTCATTTATGTTGTGGGCCAACCAGAAACCTGGGCATCCTTGACACCTCCTCCCTTCCTGCCCTTTGAGCTCCATGCCCATTCCAGTTAATATCCTGATGGCGTCTCATACACAACATGGTGGAAACCACTTTATTACTTCCTGTTTCTCCTTCCACTTCCTTGTTTTAATTGCTCCTTATTTCATATTTCCTTCTCTGTGGAATAACATGAGTATTCAACCAGTCTCCAAGCCCAGAAACTTTGGTCATTATCCTTGACCTCCCCCTGCTTAATTCATCCTCCATGTTTATTCATGCACTAATCCTGTAGATTCTATTTCCCTAATGTCTGTGTTGTCTGTCCGCTGCTCTGGGCTTTCATGGCTAGTGCCTTGGTTTAGGCCCCGCCACTTCTCACCTGGATTGGTACAATAGCCTTCCTCTGATCTCCACATCCTCTTTTGTATCCTACCAATTCAGCTACAACTAGAATGTCACAAAACATGATATGCCACCCCCTACTTAAAATTCCTCTATGGTCATTTATAACCTTCTACATAAAGTGCCAACTCTTTACCTTAGCCTACAAGACCCCTCATCTTCCAGGTCTGGACTGCTTCTCTGGCTTCATGTCCCAACTTTCTCAAAATGCCTGCTCCAAAATGCCATAACCAAAATGCCATTCTCCCAGGTAGGCCCATGAACAAACATGTCACAGGATCCTTCCCTCAGTTCTTTTGCATATATTATTCTTCCAGGTAAAGTGTCTTTCTCACTTTTCCTTGTCTAGTTAACTGTTATAAATCCTTCAAAACTCAGCTCAAGTGTCACCTCCCCTGGGAAGCCTCTCTTCTGCATGGGTCTGATTTGGACATTTCCATAGCCTCCCAGACTTTTAGTATAGCATTCACTTCATTAGTTATTGATACAGCTTGTTTTCCCTGGTAGACTGTGAACAGCTATAGAAAGGAGAACATGTTGCTGAATTCTAACACATGGCCTGGCATAAGATGAGTGCTTAATACATTTTTGTTGAATTAAATGGGTAAATACTCCAGGAGAGCTTTGTCTTAGGTAGTAATTATCTAATTCCAAGAGGATTAACCAGATGGAGACAGCAGTGTTACAGGAGAGAGGAATGAGGTACTGGCAAAAGATGTAGAGATGGAAAGGTGTCCACAGTCACCCATTCACAAGTCATCTTTGACGAGTCCACCAGAGTGGTCCTGCCATTCTCAATACCTACACATATTTGCTGAACTGCATACCATCAATTCTTTTGATTTAGAAATCCTGTACAAAAGATGTTATTCAAAACTTTATCCATTTGGCAGTAAATCCCGTCAGACTATTGTAATTCTTGTATATTTTAAAAGTTTTACTCATTAGCATTTGACATATATGGGGATTTCGTTCATGGTTATGAAGGTGTGTCTATGTATAGATGTTGGCATTTGGACAGTTGAGGCTGTAAAGACAGAACTCTGGTCACTTCCATCGGAACCAAACTGTGTAAGGGGTCTTTACAGAAACTTTGAATCTCACAGGTAGCGTGAAGCATTCAAAGTTCTATGGTACACTTTCTCAGCTGCCATCTCATTAGTTTAGCTTAATGTGTAGACAATATCTTTTTTCTACAGCATGGAGCTTGTTTGGGAATGAGAATTCACTGCCCAAGAATTGACCGTTAAACATTAGTCAATATGCTTTTTCTCACCTGGCTACTCTTCCTCGAAGATCTCCAACTCCTTGTAGGTGTTTCATGTTTATCTCCTGTACTGCAAAGTTAGTTCCTGTGGCCGCCTGATCTCGAGCTCTTATTTGGTCTTCTAAAATCTGTAATTTTGAGTCAAATTTCCCATTAATTTCCCATCACACATGATAAGGAAACATCATTTAAAGCAGGGGTTACCTAATTGAATGCATTTTGTAGTTAGGCTGATGGTGTAAATGAGTGAGAGAGTCCTAGCTCAGAGAGAATTGATCTCTGCTAATTTATCTGAGGGACAGCAGTGGTTTGATTCTAGCTGATTATTGCCAGGTGGGAAAGATATCTCAATAGTGTTTTAAAGAAAGCTAGAAATCCAGATTTTATATGAAATTGCTCAGATTAACAATACTGGCATATTATTCAAGATCTTTTATAAACCATATATGGACCAAACAGAACACATTTATTGTGTTGATATGGTCATGGGTTGCCACTGGCCATCACCAACATAAAAGCTTTTCACAAAAATGCGTTTCACAATTGGTGCCGTAAGTTTGGAAACGGATTTTTTTCAATATGGCGTCAGGCAAGATTTTTTATGGATTGAACCAGAACCACAATGAAGTTAACATAGTGCAAGCAAATCTGAATCAACCTGTTTAATACACAATGCAAAAGAGTTTATCTAGATTTCTTAGAGAATATGAGAGATTTCCGGCTCAGTTGTGTCCAGATTTTGTCCATGAATATTGTTAGTCATGTCTTTATTGTGTTTTGGTGTTCTGGAAATAGAACTGACTTTCTTGTACCACCAGGCTATTGGTCCCAAGAACCATGGTTTTTAATTTTTTGTACCCATTTATAAGTATTGATTAAAAAAATAAAAAAAATTCTGCTTGTCCATAGAAAAAATTGTATTATACTTGACATTCAAATAAATTCCAATGTAAAGTGAAGACATATAAGAAATTGGTATTTACTAAGGAAAAAAGTGAGAGTTCTGTGTAGGCCTTTGGAAAACACAAATCTGTTACTTGGGGAGACATTTCAGTTTAAGTATTATATTTGACAAAGTCCTAAATTATGTTTAAATTATGGCTATGAATTTTACTAGGAAAGGAAGAATTTTTATAGCAAATAAATTATAGGAATTTCAAAGACCACAGACAGACTCTTGCTCATTTTTTAACTGGGATTGAGACAACCCAAGGGCAAATAAAGCCTTAATTGAAGATGTAAAAGTGTCAACAACACTAACTAGAGTTTGGTTTTTGTCTTTTTGCATGTATGCAGGTATTTTGTTTTCTGTTTTGGTAAAGTTAGTGATGAAAGGAAACTTACTCTACTATATACTAAAATATTTTCTAAAATAAGGATAAGTAAATCAGTGTAGTAAAGGTACATAGCTACCTGTGATGTCATGAAGACCTTGGCAAGTGTAAGAAAGGAATATACTCTATATGCAACGCACAGATCAATGGAGGAGTAATTTCACAAGTGGGTTGGGGTCTCTAATTACTCAGAAAATAATTAATTTAGATCCTTACCTCAAGTCATATATCATTATAGATTTCAGAAAAAAAAAGATCTAAAATATTTTTTAAATTAAACCATAAAAGTCACAGATAATAGAGGAGATTATTTTGGAACTTTCTAGTCTGAGAAGTATAGTAGTCCCCTCTTATCCAAGGGGGATACGTTCTAAGACCCCCAGTGGATGCCCGAAACCTCAGATAGTACTGAACTCTATATATATTGTTTCTCCCTACACATACATACCTATGATAAAGTTATTTATCATAAGAGATTAACAATATCTAAAAATAGAACAATTATAGCAATGTACTATAACATCATACACACTGTGGCTGTAACTCTTGTAGCTTGAAGTGCGACAGCAAAACTAGCATGAATTTCTTTTTCACACAATTTCATGGATAGAAGATTTGTTCTTATCGTAGATTTTAGCAAACTCAGCATACAATTTTTTTTTCCTTATTAAGTTGAGAACTTCAACCTTCTCGCTTAAAGAAAGCTCTTTACAGCTTCTCCTTGCTATAGTGGAATTGCCAGCATCACTACTTTCGTGCTTTGGGGCATTATTAAGTAAAATAAGGGTTACCTGAACATGAGCACTGTGATACCTCATCTCAAAAGTTGATCTGATAACCAACAGGCTACTGAGTGACTAATGGGCAGGGAGTGCTGACAGTGTGAATGTGCTGGACAAAGGGATGATTCCCACCGTGGGTGGGATGAAGCGGGATGTGCAAGATTTCATCCCACTACTCAGAACAGCACACAATTGAAAACTTATGAATTACTCGTTTCTGGAATCTTCCATTTAATATTTTTGGAAATTTTTGAAATCACAGAAAGTGAAACCACAGATGAAGGTGGGAGGACTACAGTAATGAGAGAAATTACAAAGCTAAATATTTGAATATTTACCTTTGTGTAAAACTTGTAAAAACATTGTAAATACAATTAAGATAGAAAAAGCAAACTGAAAAAAAATTTATATCATATACTATTGCCAATGGTTTCAGTGATATACTGCAAGCAGCCTGGATCTGTCTGTGAAGGCGGATTGTGTACATCTCTTCTGATCTTTGTGTACAGTGTCATCTTGCTGGTTGTTTGAAATCATAGTAGGAGTATTTACACCATAGAAATAGGCAAATACTACAAACGAGGCTTTCTTTTCTCCTAGAAAAGGACTGATTGCTGATTGTTAAACACTTACTATCATTTACCAGTTATTATTTCTAATATGTAAAATAAAAGAGCTCATCAAATCAACAAAAATTTAAAAGTACTAAAACCCAAAAGATAAATTAACAAAATACATAAATCATTAGCAGAAGAAATGAAGCTGTAACTTTATTATTATTAATTGTTGTTGTTGTTGTTGTTGTTGTTGTTGTTGTTGTTGAGACAGAGTCTTGCTGTGTTGCCCAGGCTGGTCTCAAACTCTTGGCCTCAAGCAATCCTCCCAAGTCAGCCCCCCAAACCGCTGGGATCACAGGTGTGAGCCACAGAACTCAGCCAAAATTGTTACTTTAAATAGTCACTTTAAAAAAGTGGATTCAACACTTTCACTAAGAAAAAAAAATCTTATTTCTGTTCTATGAAGTTAGCAAAAATTAAAGTAATAAATTTCAATTCTGGCTTAGGTAAAGTGGAGAAAAGCACTCAAATAATGCTAATGGAAGTGTAAATTAGTATAAACTTTCTGGAAAACAATTCGGCAACATGTGTCGAGAGCTTTCACAGTGTTCATACCTTAGTGATTCCACTTCTAAGAATAGATACTATGGAAATAATCCAAATGCAGATACATGTTTATGCACAAAGGTATTTCTTTTTAGAATTATTTTTATTTTGAGACGGGGCCCAGACTGGAGTGCAGTGGCATGATCATGGCTCACTGCAGCCTTCACCTCTTGGACTCAGGTAATCCTCCCACCTCAGCCTCCCAAGGAGCTGTGTCTATAGGCGTGCACTACCCTACCCAGCTAATTATTTATTTTTTTCTTGTAGAGGGAGGGTGTCACTATGTTACCCAGACTGTTCTCAAACTCCTGGGCTCAACTGGTCCTACTGCCTCAGCTCCTCCAAAGTGATATTTCAACATCAGGAGAATAACTAAGAAAATCATGGCGTATGCACCAAGCAAAGAGATTTTAATGAGAGATGATAGAGTTTAGGATGAATGTTAGAATAAAAGTCATGCTTACAAACAAAGTCTCAGCCTCCTAAATGGAATACTTGGAAGGACTAGAGGGAGATTCATCTGGGTATTTGTAGAGATCACCATTTGGTGGTAGAATTGTGAGATATTATTTCCCCAAATTTAAAATTGTTTTTTCCTAAACTTTCAAAGTAATGATGATGAACAAGTATAGCTTTTGTAAGTTGAGGGGAAAACCCACAATAAAATAATGCTATATATAAAATTTTCTTTGAGTTAAAAATAAATTAATTCTAAAACTTGTATCAACTGCCTCCCTAAAAAAAGGAATCATTTGATTTTTAAAAAGAAACAAGCACTTTGATGCAATTGTGGTAGATTAAAAATTTTTTTTTCATTTCATTTAAAGATCTGTGTCAAGCTTTAGCCACACTTGAATTGATCTTGTTATAGCCAACTTGCAAATGGGCTGACCTGCTTTAATGAGGTGAATTTCTTTTAAAACACTTGAATAGCATCCATTTCTCTATAAAGTGTTTATAGTTATTTACTAAAGGCAGCCGAATAGTTTCTTCTTCATAATGTTTTAACTATGTTATCTACAGCCTTTAAAATATTTTCTAGTTCAGTTTTCCACAAACTCAGTCCAGTCCTTTTCATTTTCTTATATATGCCAAATCCTTAACAGGATCGTAGGTATTTTGAGGTTTTTGTCCTTGTCTTTTGGAAAACGTTTTGGATTTGTCTTTTTTTTTTTTCAGAGAGCTAATCTAAGATAGTCAATTATCATAGGAGAATAAACTATTAACAAGATTTCTAGAGATTTGAAAGAAAGACTTTCTCCTTATTGCTAATAGCATTTTACTGGGGTATAATTAATATGTATTGAATGCACAAGTCAAAGTGTACATCTGGGTGGATCTTGACTCAATGTAATGTAATCAACCACATAACAATCCAGATCAAAATATAGAATATTCTTAGAAACAGTTCGATGTTTCTAAGAATGTCGTTGGCTTTTTCAATTACCAAGAAGTTTTGACTCCTAAATTGGAATCTTATTTTAGCACTATGCTATACTTACTTGATTTTCTAGTCATTTCAAAAGGCACAGGACTGCTTGCCTCTTGTCACTTTCATGATACTTCATTATGCATGGAAATACCTTTAATCACTTTGAGACTGGCATTGACCTTTGAGGCATTGAGGTCAATTCAAAATGTGCTAAATACCAATAAAGTGCCTTTTAAAAGTTCACTGAGAGTTTTTAACTTTTCACAGTGACTCAGATGTATTATGGGGTCTGCTAAACCCTGCAGATGAAAAATAAATTAATAAACATCCTTGCCCTTAAGTACAAATTCATAAAGAAGTAATTGCTGGGTCAATCCCATAATTTTAATAAAATCCAGTATTCTCTCTGATAGTAGAAAAGGACAGGTATCGTGAGAGAGCATTGTTGTCGATTCTCATGATAACTCCACAAGTTTTGGGCCAGTTTCCTAAAGTGCATTCTCTACAGCCCTTGCATGAAAGTTGTTAACCCAGATTCATCACGTACATTCATACCCTAACAACTCTCAAAGACCTCTTATACAAGTATGTTCATCTTCATTTAGACAAATAATTTTCTTTTTTTGATGAGAAACTCTATTTTTACTTTAATGCCTTCAAATTCATTTATTTATTCACTCATCAATTTAAGGATTATTTAGAGTGCTGACTATAACACCACTGTTGTCTAGTATGGGATGTGGGATTTAGCATGAAGAAAACAAACTCTTTGCCTTTATAGAGATTATATCTCAGAAAGAAAAAACAAACAGGAATCAAATATAGACCATGGTAGTTTGCAATGAGTGCTGTGACAAAAAAATAAAGTAGGCTTTAAGGGAGACTGAAACCATGTGGGTAGAGGTGCTATTTTATAAAATGTCATGCAAATCCTCTCTTATGAGGTTATATTTGAACAGAGACCTGAAGGAATGAAGAACATTGCATAGAAATATCCAGGGGAAGATGATCCAGCCAGAGTGAATTATGAGTGCAAAGGCCCCAAGGCTAACAAGTGTTTGGAATGTCCTAGGAACAGCTGGGAGGCCAGTGTGGCCAGAGTGAAGGAAAGAAGGGTAGAAGATGGAGCCAGAGAAATTGCTGGCATCAGATTGCAATGGCTATACAATGGAGCATTACCAATGTGCATTATGAAAATCTCTATTTGAAATTATTGCATTAATAGAGTCTTGGAGATTTAAGCTAACATAAGCATCTTAGCACAATGTCTGACATCATGTCTTTATTGTTACAAAATAAATACACAGTAAATATTTTTTGAATCGAAATTCCTTCTCCTTTTTGGCATAAATGAGCAGATGAAAAATTGCACTGTTTCCCTCTTAGACCACTAAAATGTAATCATCTGAACCTAAGGAATAGTGATATATTTCTGCACTTGAAAAATGACACTGATGGTTGATAATCTTTATCAAGCAATGCTACCAAAATACAAAACAAAACCAAAACAAAATTAAAAAAAAAAACAAAAAAGAACTACCTCAATGTTTTGGCTGAGTTTTTTGACGATGCTGGTGATGGTCTGGATGTGGCTTTCCAGTAACTTCCTGGCAAGTGATTCCTCTTTTCGAAAGCCATGGGTCCCCTGCAGACAAGCAGAGATATCCTCCTTGATGCGGAAGGCTTGTTCAAGGAGGAAAGCTATGGTACGCTCCTGGTTATTCAGTCTGTCTTCTAGCTGACTTCTCTGGGTGTTTGGAATGATGGGGAGAAAAGGATGACTCCTGATCAGAAAAAGGAAAAGGAAACACCAGGGGCGTTACAAGAATGAGCTGGAGGAGCCAGGAACCAGAACTAGAATCTTCACTTCTGATCCTTTATTTTTCACCCTATGAGAAGTTTGATAGGATTTTAAGCACCTGTCATGGTAAGAGTTTGGTGAAGGTCTCATCTAAGAAGCGGATCCACTTTTTCATGCTTCAAGCCAATTGGTGATAGTTAGGAGTGGGTAGGGGGATTCATGAAAGAAGATATTAGAAGCCTTCTTCCAAGACTGATGCCTTTATATACCCCTCATTAAAATTCTACTTTAATGTAGAAAAAAATTAAGTTTTTATAACTATAAAGATACAAAAGTGACTGTGTTAGAGAGTTTTCCAAGGTGTGAGTCCTGGAATAGCAGTCAGAAGGATAGGCCACCACAAAAGAATTCTATGATCAAATATACTTAGAAAACCTCGCATATGATGATGTCTCTCCCTTAGAGATTCCCATTGTGCATTTTCATATTGTCTAACAGAATTATTCTAATTTCGTAAATAGGGAAAATAGTTCATGAATGATACCAGTCATAAACCCAAAAGACATAATCCCAAGCATTGAAATTCCTACAGTTCAAAATCTCTTGACTGGATTAAGGGGTACCTAGAACCTGGTGAAGCAGTGTATCTGTGAGGGTGTTTCCAAAGGAGATTAGTGTGCGAGTCTGAGTACACTACACGAGAAAGATCTATCCTCAATGTTTTGAAAATCACAGAAGTAAAAACAGGCGAAAAATACAACAAATGTCCCCTGCCAAATGATTCAATCATGTATGACTTCTGCCCCTTCACACCTAGTGCCACGCTTGCCTTCAAAAAACACTCTTCATCAGAGAATAAAAAGAATTCCACAAACTGAGCAGCATTCTGAACCAAAGACGCTTGCTGATATAGAGGTTCCTCCAGTGTTCTGAAACTCATTGAATGATGAAATATTCTTAGTTAGGGATTTGACTGTCAAAGAAGATAGACTTCCGAAGTTTGCCACTAAATCTAACATAGACAAACTAGTGCACGCTTCACTTTGGCTGGAATGGCACTTTCAAAATCATCCCCATCTTTCCTATCAACTATATGCCATCATGCCCCAGTTGGATCCAAACATTCTTGAACTTACCTGCTTCTTTATATATTAATGACTGGAAAAAGTGAAGTACTTTATAAACATTTATTTGAAGATTTGGTGGACTTTGCAGAAGAAAATGGATTTTAGTAGAATCCCCAAACCATGACAGATTTGGAATTAAGTCCCATCAAGGCTTCTAAAAGTGAATCTCAAGGTGTCATCAATAAAATTTGTTTTTGTCATTCAGCCCAATGCATTTGGTGAAAAATTCAGACAAGTGAATTGACCACCCCATATGGTTTAAAAATATTTCATTTGTTTGCAGTGGCATTCCTCCCAGCTAATGACATTTTAGGAAATTTTAATGAATTAAAGTCACATTTGCCTGAAGAGAAGCCAGCAAAGTTACCAACTGTTTCAAATATAATTATGCACACAGTAAGATAAGAAGACACACAATAGTGTGACTATTTGATTATCAGTATTGCTTCTGCATATGAGTGCATGTGGAATGAATTTCTGTATACCAAAAACAGCACAGAAAAATTATGCAAAGATGGAAATATTTAATAAGGAATGCTCATGTTGGTGTATGTTGAATCACAGAATTTCAAAAAGAGCAGTGCTATGTGGAAAATCAATGAAACGTGAACATATTCTCTGAGGAGAGCCATGTCTTAAAAGAAAAAAAAAAGCAGCAATTCATTGCCATGCAAGACTTCAAAATATGATTGTGAAAGTTGGCCAGCTCTAATGGACTACCTCCATGCAATTGCCCATAATGTAGCCCTGTAATATACTTTTTCAAATGTTGAATTTTCTTTCTAGTTTTTTCCCACTATCTTAAATTGTCATCATTGTTATTATTACTCTTCACAATTTGCTATACTATGTATTTCATCTTCACATCATTTGCAATACTGGAGTACAAATTGTATAAAGACTTGCAGAAAGTTCTAATTTGTTTTATGCATATTTTATAAATTTCTCCACAAAAGTGCATTATCACAACATTGACTTCGTGTGTAAGCATCGTGTATGTAAAGATGTTTAAACTTCCCCAATAAATGAAGAGATGTCCTTTTTTGTACAACTGCATTTGTGAAAGATAAAATTTCTCAAGATCTCAGCTCTTTGTGCAATTGCATATGCTGTAGTGACTCATTGAAGTTTTGGATCAATCTTATCAAAAGACTTAGGTTATCTGTCACGGTATTTCAGGTGACTACAGTTATAAAGCTGGGTTGCACAAAACTACCATCCATAGTATTATGCATTTATACATTTTGAATTTTGACTTATTTATTTATGAATATGGTTCATCCACTTATAACATTATACCCATATGACTGTTGTTAGTATATCTGTATGTTTATGCTTCTAAAAATGCATGGTACTATTGCCTATTTTATTATGTAAAGTGGCCTGTGGAATGCTCTGTCATGTTTTCATATGCTTCTAAAATAAATCTCCTTTTATAAATGTGAAGAAATGTCTTTTAAATTAGTTTTTCCAGAATTATACTGTGGGGATTTTGATCTTTTTGGGATGTCCACACTTGGTATTATGACATTCAGGATTGTGTTTTTTGGGTTTGCCAAACCCATTAATGGAATAGTTAACTGGTCCTCGGTCATCCAAAGCCCATGCACTAAAACACTTGGTTATATAGTCCCCAAATACAGGTTATTTCCAAAGCCCTTATGTGTACTGATTTCTGACCCTACACCAAGTCACATTTTTAATACATGAACATGACAACCTTCCTTCAAATCTATATAACTGAGTTAGAAGTTTACTTTAAATTTGTCTTTAGTGCTATTAAATTTCTTGGGGATTTCTTATTATCCTATCACCCAGTAGAAGGGGCTGTGCGTTTTCTCTCTTTAATCTTACCTGCTTAGTACACTGAATTTCTGCACGAGTTTTTATTTGAAGAAATATTTCAATGTCCCAGAACTATTTATTTAGTAGGGCCAGGATTACCTCTGCGTCACCTATAACCTAGCCTAGGATGTTTTCCATGTTGCCGCCTCTGAATGGTAGCAAATTATGTTGTGAATGGCACTGGAAAGAGAAGTCGGCCTTAAGGAAAAGGGGATTTGGCCTTTGTTAGGGCCTGGGAATAAAATGATGAATAAGACAGATAAAGCCCCTGCCCTCTTGGAAATATATATTTGTATCTATATACTTATGTAGATGTATAGATATATAGTATATATATTTTTAAAATGACTATTATATATGCTGGATCATAAAAAGCCAAGGCCAAATAATTCATGCTTATTCCCATGGCATGAGCCAAAATAACTATTTGCTTTAGGCCAATAGTGACAAATTTTCTTGGAAGTGAAAATGTCCTCAGGACAGCAGATTTTAGGGCCAGATTGTGAACATTAGCATTTTCTGGACTGCAAATTTCAGCTGGGGTTGTGTTTAGCTGTGTTTTTGAAAAACCAAAGAGAGTGACTTAAGTTAGTAGGATTTATTTGGCTCATGTAACAACAAGTGGAGAGGTAGAGCAGCTGACCGAGGAAGTCATCAGGTACCCAGCTCCTTCTGGCTTCCTTGCCCACTCATAGTGTGTGACATTTACCCTCAGGTCTCAAGGTTGTTGTTCTACCTTGAAGTGTTGTGACCCCATTCCAGATAGAAAAGACAGAAGGCAAAAAATAAAATAAAATGTGTGCATCTGTTGAGTTTATCAACACCCGTCCTTTTTAAAATCAAGACAGCCTTTCGAAAAGACTCACCATGACACTTTTGTCTGTATTTCACTGACTGAAGCCATGTCATATAGCCACCTCTTACACCTTCTTTTGTTTTGTTTTTTTTTGGACTGGGTACATTGTAGCCTTAAACAAAACTGGGACTTTTATTAGCAAAGAGGAAGGAGAAAATGTCTCCTGGATTGACTACTGGTGGTATTTGCCATATGCAATTTTCTGCCTTTTTACCTCTAATTTGATATCAAGTATCTCTGCCAAAGGAATTTAAAAAATAAGAAGTTTGTGTCTTTCCTGTTGGTTGTTTTCTGTCTTAGGATTAATCTTCAGCTAAATTTTTTTGGGCTGTGCCAGAAGCTGGCTAAATGTTGGCCACAGATATCATTATTATTACCCCAGTGATAGATGGTTGCTCACAAGGATCAGTGTGTGCAGACGGCAAGGTTTCAACTGCCCAGTGAAGGTCAGCAGAAACTGGTTGGCTCGTAAAGGAAGAAGAGAGACTCATGCTACGCAGATAAAGAAAATAAAGAAATATTACTTCTTTTTAATTTAGTAGCTCTGTAATTTCATCTTTATAAAACTGCTCAAAAGAAATATAATGTAAACCTTATAGACAATTTTAAGCTTTCTAATAGCCACATTAAGAAAAATTTTTAAAAACCTGATGACAGGCCAGGCGTGGTGGCTCACACCTGTAATCCCAGCACTTTGGGAGGCTGAGGTGGGCAGATTACTTGAGGTCAGGAATTCGAGACCAGCCTGGCCAACATGGTGAAACCCCCCTCTACTAAAAAATACAAAAGTTAGCTGGACATGGTGGCGCACGCCTGTAGTCCCAGCCACTCAGGAGGCAGAGGCACAAGAATCACTTGAACCTGCGAGGTGGAGGCTGCGGTGAGCCGAGATTGAGGTACTGTACTCCAGCCTGGGCGACAGAGCAGAGCTCCATCTCAAAAAACAAAATAAAACAAAACAAAAAACTGATGACATTAATTTTTAACAATATATTTTATTTAACCCATTATATCTAAAATGTCATTGTAACATGTAATCAATGTGAACTTTTTAATGGAATATTTTACATTCTTTTTAAAAATAAGTCTTTGAAGTCCAGTGTGTATTTTACACTTAGGGCACAACTCCTCAATTTGGACTAGCCACATTTCAAG